GAACTGTCGGTCCCGTTGTTTTCTCCTCTAGATTGTTCATCCAGCCTATCTTATTTAGACAGGCCTGTAGCGGTCTTTCATTGTCTGATTTTCAGAAGGAAATCATCAGGCCTTTTTCTGGAAAGCCTACTCTTTGGTTTGGAAATTCCACTACAACCTGCTCAGTGACACCCAAGCCTCCACTGTTAGAAGAGTGTGGGCTAAACTTGGTGCATTGGTCCAGAGGGTGAGAATTCAACCACAGAATCATGACTGACCTCCACCCAATCCTGCGAGTTACAGTGGAGTTGACGCCCACTCATGGTTACCCAAGGGGGGACCCCATTCCATTCCATGGGGTTTCGAAGACTGTGACCTTCAGAAGCAGATGGTCAGGTTTTATTCTGAGGCAATTCTGGGTTGATTTGAAATATTAGCCTTTGGGTTTATAGCTCAGAGTTTAACCGTTTGCATCATTCCATGGCCTTTCTCCACTCTGGTATAGATTATCTCGTGGTTCTTTTGTCGGATGGTTTCTACCAAATTATAGACTTCTTTGGAAGAAAGCCAAACTTCACTGCCATCGAATGGACACATTGGCTGCTAACCACAAGGTCCATGGTTCAGACCTCCCAGCCGATCGGAGAGAGAAAGATGAGGTTTTCTAGTCCGTTACAACCTCAGAAGCCCACAGGAAGCCCCGGTCGCTATGAATTGGAATCTATTGGATGGCATTGGGGCCAGAATACCTTATTTTGCTTTTGATCTCTCCTCACTCTCTCCCCCCTCGGCCCACCATCCTAGTGCTTTGACTAGCATTTGATATAAAATGGAACCTCAGCGAATTTGCGTTGAATTAAATTACTTCCTCCCTTACGAATAAAGACCTGGGAATTTCAAGACATCACTTAGGGAAGGGGGTTTTGGCAACCTCTAAACCCAGCACTCAAATAAAGACCTAACAGACCCCGGGCTTTAATTTACATTCCCCAATTCACTAATTGCTCCCCCTTTCCTAACGTGTGTGAGGATACCGGCCACGCGCTTGTCCCAAGCCCAAGGCAGTGTCAAACGTGGGTGGGGTTTGGCGGTTGGGAAAAGGAGGTACCGCAGCAAGAAAGGACGAGGATGCGCTGCTTTTGTGTCGAGCCCTAAATCCAAAGCCACGAGATGGTTCCAGAGAGGACCTGTGGTGAGGATGCTGCGGGCTTGGAGTCCTCAGGGGTGCTGAGAAGCAAGTCGCGAGGCAGGTGGACAGTGGCGGCCCCCCCGCGGCAGGCGATTGGGCGAGGGCGCAGCGGCCGAGTCCTCGTTGCCTAGGTAGCGTGCCGAGCCGAAGGCCCGGCGAGAAAGGACGGCGCTCTGGGCCCTCCCCTCGGCGGTCCCCGCATCCTCTCCGGAGACCGGGCTGACGTGTCAGTCTGGAGCCCTTTCCAGGGGCGACGGCCGGCCCGCCCCTCGCCACCTCCGCGCCCGCCCCGCGCCCCGCCCCCGGCGCCGCCCCCCGCGCCGCCTGGGCCGCCTCCGCGTCACCGGGGCCTCGGAGTTGACCACAACATGGCTGCGGCGCGGGGGCTGCTCCTGGGGCTGCTCCTGCTCGGGCCGCGCTGCCGGGTGGCGGCTCTCAAGGACTCCAGCTCGGGCCGGCGCTTCTCGGAGCACAAGCTCTGCGCGGACGAGGAATGCAGCAGTGAGTGCGGCGGCCGGCTGGGCGGCGGTCCGGGCGCCGCCCCGGGGTCTCCGCGGCGCCGTTGGGGCGGGGGGTTGGCGGCACCGCCTGCCGGGCTCGGGGTCCCGCGAGCCGCGCGTGGCGAGCGCGCAAGGGGACAAGCGGCGGGCCCAGCCTGTTTCTTCCCTCCCTGCGCCTTCGCCGACGTCCGGGCCAGCCGGTCCTGAACATGGGGGCGAGACCTCCACTTGTTGCCGGCGTTTTATCTTTCCTTTGGCGACCGAGGCGGCGTTTGGGGTAGCCCCTGGTGACCCCAACCCTGTCCGAGCCGGCTCTGTGGGGAGATGAGGCTGCGTGCTGCACGCCCTGGTCTCCCCACGCTGCAGTCGAGCTTTCCTGCCCCCGCCGCGGGGAGCTCTGTCGGTGCAGAGGCGGGGGCTGATGCGCTGAGGGTTGGGGGGCCCGTTCCTAGTGGTAAGTTGATGGTGACGTTCAGGAAAGGCACACTGGTGCTAACCCCGCACCTTTTACTGGCTTTTGGGGCTCTTTACTGCCTTGTGACCAGCGATTGGAGTTTAGGTCTGGGGCTAGCCTGGAGTCCTTGCATGCAGTGTATTCCAAGACCTCAGCTCAAGCTCTGCTTCAGTCGTGTCATGTCTGTGCCTAGAAGTCTTCATGCAACCTGTCAGGCCAGCAGGAAGGCCAGCATCCTGCTCTGGAAAGAGACGGAGGCTCAGCATCGGCCACCAAGGATAGGTGGCACTTCAGTGCACAGGAAATGGAATCGCAACCCAGTCCCAGATTGGGGCTGTGTAAGGGGCAGGGATCTTCAGACTCGGGTGAAAAGGGTTATTAGAGTGATAATAGTAAATATTCCAAGGATTTTATAAGCCAAACCAGTTTTAGCCTTAGTCATTCGTGCTGTTGGAATCCCTTAGGATGAGAATTTACAAGCGCCACAGAAATAATAGTTCATAAATTGCAAGGCCAAGAAGCATGTAGTTTAGTACTGATACTTAATTTGGTGTTATTCAAAAAGTTGATGAGTTCATATCATTGTAACACCATTTAAGAAAGAAGAGGCAATCTTTAATTTGTGTTAAGCTGGTGGCGTTGTGGTTAAGCATTAAGCTGTTAGCCAGAAGGTCAGCAGTTCAAAACCACCAGCCGATCTGCTATTCCCATAAAGAGTTTCAATCTCGGAAACCCACAAGCACAGTTCCACCCTGTCCTATATGGCTGATGTGAGTAAACACACTAAAAGCAGCACAACATATTTTCTTCCTGGAATACTTAATCTTTCCTTGACCCATGGTACATGCAAATGTTATCTCCCCACCAGCATATTCAGCATCTCAGGTTTCATGGGAAACTGGTATCCCAAGTGGTTGTGCTATTATGTGGTGAGGACCTGTATAACCACGGGAATCTGAAGAAATGGGTTTCACCTCTCCAGTCCTATCATCAGAGTCCACTTGGAGCATATGTTGATGCACTGAAACATATGGCTTCAAAATCTAAGTTCATACACACCCACACACACAATTCCCCTGACTTTATTTATTTTAAAGATTATTTTATTGGGGGTTCGTACAGCTCTTATAACAATCCATACATTAATTGTATCAAGCATATTTGTACATATGTTGCCATCATCATTTTCTAAACATTTAGTTTCTATTTGAGCCATTGGGACCAGCTCCTCTTTTTCCCCTTCCTCTCCCCTCCCACTCTCATGACCCCTTAATAAATTATAATATTGTTTTCATATCATACACCGACCCCTGTCTCGCTTCCTCCACAGTTTCTGTTGTTCCTCCCCCTAGTGGGGTGTGTGTGTGTGTGTGTGTGTGGTTATGTGTCGATCAGATCATTGTAATCATTTCCCCCTTCCTGTCCTCTCCCCACCTTTCCTTACCCTCCTGGTACTGCTACTCCCATTCCTGCTCCTGATCAGGTTATCTGAACTGGATTCCGTGTGTCACGAGCTCTTACCTGTACTGGTGTATATGCTCCCGTCTATCCCGCAGTGAAAGGCAGGACTGGGGTCCTGATAGTGGGGCGTGAGGAAGCCTCAAGGAACCAGAGGAATATTGTGTTTCATTGGTGCTGTACTGCATGCTGGTTGACATCCTTTGTGACCCTTCTGTGAGGGGATGTCCCATTGTCTACAGATGGGTTTTGGGTCTCTGCTTTAACCCCCTCGTTCTCGACAATATGTATGTTTGTTTGGAGTCTTCTGGTGCCTGTTACCTGATCCTGTCGACACCTCCTTATTGCACAGGCTGGTGTGCTTCTTCCGTGTGGGCTTGTTGCTTCTCAGCTAGATGGCCGTTTGAGTAACTTCAAGCCTCTAAGATCCCAGAATTCCCAACTTCAGCTTGCCTTCTGTTACTGAAAACACCTGGTATCAACAAAAAATTCAAGTCAGACAGAATTCAGTTAACGATGCATTTTAACACAAACGGACTTAGAAGTATTTCCATGGCATCCTCCCCCTCCACCTGCTACATAAATGCACTTATTGTTCATTTTGTTTCACTGTGTATTTGGCCAATGAGAAAAATATTCCTTCTACTACTTCCTAGATGGAGTATGATTTAAGTCCTGCATTTTATGTCTAAGGATAACAGACTTATATTCCCAGTTTTGCTTCCTCCCTGCCATAGATGATGTTCACTTTTGATTTGGTTTATAGAAATACTATGAATAAGAGGATATCTTCCTTTGTTTTGAAACAGCCAACATTACTTACTTTCAGAAAATATTGCTTTGTTATGTGATGGGCTCAATAATAACAGTTGGTATCCTTTCCCATTACTATGTTCCAATACTGTACAGAAAGAACAAATCTGCTACAAATGAAACTGACAGTGTTTACTGTTACAACCACTTAGGAGGTAGTGCTTCTTTAAAATGGTTAGTTCCAGTTAATTGACCCCTTGGGAGTTGCAAGATGCCCTTCTCGGCTTCATATTATTGCTACATGTAGAAGCCATGCTTAACCCAGCCAGTGTCTGTGCTTGAACTTACCTGCTGGCAAAATGATGCTTTTTTAAGATGAACCAGCAAAGATTGAGGATTTGATGGTCACACAGGGAGCCAAGGCAGCCTGAGATCTGCCATGTGTGGCAGTGGACACATTGCTTCCTGTTTTTCAGTTTCACCCACAGGGAAAAATGGGGAAAGTTTTCCTTTCCACTGTCTCCAGGGTATTTTGTGTATTGAAAAGCAAGGATGTCACTTTGAGGACTAAGGTGCGCCTGATCCAAGCCATGGTATTTTCAGTCGCCTCGTGTGAAAGTTGGACATTGAATAAGGAAGACAGTTAAGACACTGCATAAGAAGAACCGATGCATTTGAATGATGGTGCTGGCGGAGAATATTGAAAGTACCATGGACTGCCAAAAGAACCGACAAATCTGTTTTAGAAGAAACACAGCAGCCAGCATGCTCTTTAGGGGCAAGGATGGCGCGACTTCGTCTCATGTACTTTGGACATGTTATCAGGAGAGACCTTGGGGAAGGACATCTTGCTTGGTAAAGTAGAGGGGCAGTGAAAAAGAGGATGGTCCTCCACAGGATGGATTGACCCAGTGGCTGCCACAATGGGCTCCAACAAGATTGTGAGGACAGTGCAGGACCAGGCAATGTTTTGTACAGACTTGAGAGAAACTTAACAGTCTCTTCTTTGTGGTACATAAGACCTCTCTGAGTCGGAATCTACTCAGCAGTACCTAACAACAACAATCGCAACCAGTGACCAGCTGTCATCAAGTTGATGCCTACTCGTGGCAGCTCCATTTGTGTCAGAATAGAACTATGCTCCATAAGGTTTTAATGCTGATTTTTGGAAGGAGTTTGCCAAGCCTTTCTTCCAAGGCACCTCTGGTCATCTCACGCAGATTGAACCTCCACCTGCTCACTTAACATTTGAGCACATCTGCACCACATAGGAACTCGTATAACATAAGGTGACCAGATTTTAACATTGGTAAAGCGGGACACCATTGATAAAACTCATATCCTGGCGAAATAGCCACATGGCAGCCAAAAACCGTATACCCTAGCTTGTCGTGCATTCTTTCCAAAAATCGGGACTTTTTTAAAACACTGCAGGACGTGGAACAAATTGTTAAAAATCGGGATTGTCCTGCCAAAAGCGGGCCATCGGTCACCTTAGTATAACAATAAATCTTTATGGACTTTTAGATTATCTGAGACTATGAATAGTATGAATATGAATTAAAAGTGATTTTAGCAAGTCCTGAAGAAACTTGATTGCTTACAGTGTGTTCTGTGTTTCCTGATAAATCATTGTGAGCTATAAAAATGTAAACCTGATAGTTAATTTCTTTCTTTCTCTCTTTACATACAGTGTTAATGTACTGGGGCGAGGCTCTAATTTCTTTCTCTCTTTACATACAGTGTTAATGTACCGGGGCGAGGCTCTAGAAGACTTCACAGGCCCAGACTGTCGTTTTGTGAATTTTAAAAAAGGCGATCCTGTATATGTCTACTATAAACTGGCAGGGGGGTCACCTGAAGTTTGGGCTGGAAGTGTAAGTGAAACTTTGACATCCTTTATTTACGTAGCTGGTATTGGCTTGTTAGCACTGTTGATTTAAATCATGGTGTTTCCTTGAGGTTTGTGAAAGGGTTAACTTGCCCTCTCTGCTAGTCTGAGAATAGAAGATGGCTCAGTGTCCCCAGTAGCATTAGCCCTGGCAGAGAGCTGGGGCTCAGTACAGGTTTGTTACTGGGAATTGAGCTGAATCTGGCTATTGCTCCTCGAGCAAGTGCTAGGTCTGCCCAGCCAGCATCGTTTCAGACATAGTAAAGTTTGGAATGGTGAAAACTGGGAAATTGCTTAATTTCATTGCTTCAAATAGGAAGGAAAGCTTATTTTAATAGGATTCATGGGTGTTAGATTGCTCCTGTGAATTACATTCAAGCTAGTGTTTTCGGCATGCAGGCTTAGAGTTGATTTTAGGTGAGTTTCAGTTTCTGTGATGACATTAGTAAAACCTGTTGAAAAATTGGCATTCCTCGGAAGAGTGTTACCTAACCATTTGTGCTATGACCCGTGTGTTAGAAAAGTGAAATGCTGGGTTTTTGCTGGGTGCTTGCTTTCCTGTTTGTTGGCTTTCAGCAACTTTTGAGTCATCCTTTTCTGTCTTTCAGACACCTGCTCTTGGAGGCTCCCCAGGGGCTCTATTTCCAGCTAGTTTCATGGATGCCCTGGTCTCAGACATGGAAATCAGTGAAGGCATCGTGCTTTGATGTTTTTAAAGAGGAGGGTCACTCAGAGGAGCCTGATTGAGAGGCTTATGAGTGACTGTCCGCTTCTTTTTAAGAAGTGTTGTGTGTGGACTGTTTATCCACTCAAAAGTAATGTCCTTTGGGTTGTCCAAACAGACATACCCAGCCTCATTTGTAATTTTTCACTCTCTAGGAAACACCAAGCAAACAAACCACAGAAAATACGACTTGAGATACTCCATATGGAAAAATAGATTCCTTTTGGTGGTGATCTAGATTCCTAGGGAGGAGTCTTGAACAGTCCAGTGGTCAGGTACTGCAACCCTTGTCTTTAGTCATCCCAGTTGAATCACACCATACAAAGAAGAGACTGTTAAGTTTCTCTCAAGTCTGTCAAACAGGATTTCTTAATCTTTATCTTAGAAATTGTTTTCCTTGTACCAAGGCTGCATTTTTCATTCGTGTTCCTTTTCTCCCCTCTTCCTCACCTGGGAGCATTTCAGGCATGAGCTCAACCTAACCATACTTAACCTCTAGACATCTGCCTGTCTCTCGTTGATGCCTCACTCTCAGTCCGTCTTCTTGGGGCTGTGGCCTTCAGCACCCATCTTTCCTGTCTCACAGTTGTTGAGGTGGTGCTCTGTTTACATTGCTTATGTGGCATTCATTTTTACTGCCTTGTATTGCAGTTAGTTTATGTTCCTTAAACTCACTACCTTCAGATCACCCCTCTGACCCATGGAGCCCTATGCATTACAGAACAAAACTGCACTGTAGTATTTTCATGGCTGCAGTCTTTACAGAAGCAGATTGACAGGCCTCTTTTCCATGGTACCTCTTGGTGGGTTCAAACTGCCAGTCAACTTTTTGGTTCCTGGCCAAACATAAAATGTTTGTGCCACCCAAGGCCATTAAGTCTCTGATGGAAGGGACCAGGGGGTCTTATAGGGCAAAGATACTTGTCTACATTTTTCTTGATAGTAGTGTGTGTTTTCTTAAAGTAGTATTCTACTACTTTCATATCAATCAGCAATTTTTTGGCAAAGAAGAAAAACGGGAGCAAAAACTAATCTTTGACTCGCTAGCTAGACATAAAAGATAAGTTGTAACCAAGAGGACCTATGATTCTGCAACTTTTTTGTGTGTGAGACCTTAAGAAATAGGACCTCACCCAGTTTATAACTCTGGGGTTTTATATGAACGGTGGTCTCGGGATACAGATAAAGCAAAGATAAATGTATTTGCTTTCTTCATATATCCCTGATTTTTTTCTGTCCGATATTCTCATTCCTTTTTCCACAGAAGGGAAAGGCTTGTTTTCCTCTGGTTTACTTCTTGTTTCTTGAGCCTTATCGTTTAGGAAATTAACATTTCCCCTCATTTGTTTTCAAAATGATTCTTGTGTCTGTGCCTTAGCACCCCCCACCCTTTTTGTGGTTTCTTAAAATTTCAGGCTTTAACTGCCAATGTGGCACCTTTTAATTGCCCTGTCTTATCTAATCTTCATGGCAGTAGCCTACTACTAATACTGGCTTTCAGATAGTGGCCAGATATGACTAGAGCATTCATGAATGGGGATATTTTAGAGTTAGTGATAAGATGGCCCTTTCTACTCTTTTGTGCATTTTGGTCTTTAACGATAGGGAAGATATCTGCTCTTCCTTTCAGACAGTGGCTGGTAAAAGACAGTATATGTTTCCTAAGAGGACACACTGTTTGTACCTCAGGTCTTAGTACTGAAGATGAAAAGGATTATTTTCTAAAGAGGTTTAATTTGCATGTAACTGAAGCCTGGTGTGTAGATTACTATGAATTACATTCCAGTTTTATTTCCCTCAGAATACCTGTAAGTTTAGTTTTGAAAAACTAGTACAGCTTCTAATATCAAGAAATATTTGCCTTTAGTTGTGCTAATCATTTCATAAAGTTTGTATTCTTTTCACTTATTAATCTTCATGGCTATTTATTGATTTAAGAAAGATTTTTAAGTACTGATTTATGAGAAGTGCACTGAAATATACAGGTAAGTGCTTATTAGAGGTTAAGACAATTCTATTTTGCATTGTGTTAACTGAAGGATGTATAATCATTCCTTGTACATATATTTTATCTACTTCAAGAGTCTAAAGTTTTGTGTTCTCTGTTTGAAAATTATGCCAAATATTGAAAGAAAATTCAATGGTTTTAGAAACATTGGGTTTACAATATTAAATACTAACTCTCTATTAGAATGGTAAGCAGAATAATTATAAAAACAATTATTTCAGTTATATTTATTTATTTCTATATTTCTTCTAAGTACTAACAAGCATCTAATTTACATTTTTCATACAGATTTTTCATTGATTATTTGTCCCTTTTGCCCATTCTTCCATACAGGTTGGGCGTGTTTTTGGATATTTTCCAAAGGATTTAATCCAGGTAGTTCATGAGTATACTAATGGAGAGTTACAACTTCCGACAGACGTAAGTGATACAATTCTGCCTTTGCTCTCAACTATAAATTAACTTAGGAATTCAGCACCTAAATTCACTTCACTATCTTTGAAAATCTTTGATGTTTTGTTTGTATCAGTCAGGAAAGTAAAAATATATCTAATGGTTGTCCATCAGATTTTAATTTGGGGTAAAACTACCAAGAAAAAGAGAGGATGGAATATTAGCTTGATATTCTTTTTTTTTTATAATTATTTTATTGGGGGCTTGTACAATTCTTATCACAATCCATACATACATCCATTGTGTCAAGCACAAATATGTATATTTGTTGCCCTCATCATTCTCAAAACATTTGCCTTCTACTTTAGCCCTTAATATTGGCTGCTCATTTCCCCCCTCCCCCCTCCCTCATGAACCCTTCATAATTCATATATTATTGTTTTGTCATATGTTACACTGTCCGACATCTCCCCCTGCCCTCTTCTCTGCTGTCCATCCCCCAGGGAGGAGGCTATACGTAGATTCTTGTAACCGGTTCCCCCTTCCTACCCCACATTCCTTCTACCCTCCATCATTGCCACTCTCACCACTGGTCCTGAAAGAGTCATCTGTCCTGGATTCCCTGTTTCCTGTTGCTATCTGTGCCAATGTATATCCTCTGGTCTAGCCAGATTTGTAAGGTAGAATTGGGATCATGATAGTGGGGGGTGGGGGGCATTTAAGAACTAGAGGAAAGTTATATGTTTCATCGTTGCTACCCTGCACCCTGATTGGCTCATCTCCTCCCTACAACCCTTCAGTAAGGGTGTGTCCAGTTACCTACCGATGGGTTTTGAGTCTCCACTCTGCACTCACCCACCTTTATAATGATATGATTCTTTTGTTCTTTGATGCTTGATACCTGATCCTTTCGACAGCTCATGGTCACACAGGCTGGTGTGCTTCTTCCATGTGGGCTTTGTTGCTTCTGAGCTTGTTTATCTTGAAGGCTTTAAGACCCCAGATGCTATATCTTTTGATAGCTGGGCACCATCAGCTTTCTTCACCACATTTGCTTATGCACACGTTTGTCTTCAGTGACTGTGTCAGTAAAGCGGGCACCCACTGATATGATTTTTTGGTTCTTTGATGCCTGATAACTGGTCCCTTCTACACCTCGTGGCCAGACAGGCTGGTGTGCTTCCATGTGGGCTTTGATGCTTCTCAGCTAGATGGCCGCTTGTTTGTCTTCAGAGACGTGATATTCTTATACGGAACATTCCGTGCTATTTATATGGGCAAAAAAATATTATGAACTCAGTATTTTTGTTTCTAGTGATTAAGGGGTGAATAAGCTCATTTTAAGGACAGGGATGTATTGTTTAACATCTATTCCAGCAGTGTCCTGTGTGTTTATATCTGTGGTCCTTGAATTTTGTTTTGTTTTAAAATTTTTTTAATGGGAATTCATCTCTTGTTTTATCGCTTCTCTGAATGGTTTTAAAGGCCCCCAACACAGTCTGTTGCCGAGCTGGATCACAAGTGGTACCCAGGCAGTTGAAGCAGAGGCCAGGGTTCTGGGTACAGGTTCTCAGGCTTTGTCTGGTGGGCAAGTGGCAGCAGGGTCTGTGGGCCTGGGCTGCCCCTGCTGTTGAGGTGAATAGAACAGTGAGCAGGGCTGAGGTGTTCTGCTCCCTCCCCACTTGCTTCTTCTGGATCCATTCCTACCCCCACCCTCTCAGCTTTGGCTGCTGCAGCGCTGTTCCTCCAGCCACTGTCAGCAGCAGTGGCAGCTGTGGTGATGGCAAGAAGGACACCTGGAAGCTGGCTCCCATAAGGTTTTATTATGGTGTTTGCACAATGTCCCCATCACACATGTACTATTTCACAGAGCACATTGTGGACTTTAAGCTGCACATGCCTACATTTATAAATTGTGATAAAGCAAAACTAGACCAGAAATGCGGACTTATTATAGACCCGTTAGGGATTTAAGAGTTTATATTATAGGTTTGTAAAAGGTAGCCCGAGCATTTCAGATGAGATCTGGCCTCAAATCTAGAAGGTCTTGACCATGCAGTGTACAAAGCAGCTGTGTAACTAAGAGGATTTTTGTGTTCCGGGATCCTTATTCCCAGCAGAATGGATAAGACCCTGGAGCTCTTTTTCCATGATAGTCTAGCAGATCATAAAATCAGCCCTACTGCCTATTTGATCTCACGCCTCATGTGAGACTGCCCAAGATTCTTGTGTGGGACCAGAGGTCATTGGTCACAGAACCCTCAGCTGATTGGGGTTCTGACTTCGCCCTGCATGTTCCCTCAACTTAGAAAATGCATGTGATTGAAAGAGGAAACCACTTAGCCCTACTCCACTGGGCAGGTATCTTCGTGATATTAGTGAGACTTAAGAGAAGAGAATTATTTTTGTTAGTTTTTAACATTCCCCACATTGTATAGCGTTTTTTGAGCCAATCTCTTTGTTGGTAGAGGAAAGGAAAAATAAAATATGCACATAGTCCTGACAGCAGGTCTTAGTGATTACTCCAACCCTGAATTAGATTAGGGTGTGTCCCTGACTGAAGCTTGTTGTTCTTGTGGTAAGAATTAGGCAAGGAAGCCCCAATGACACTATTCTTTGTACCTTTAAATTTTTCCTTTCTATGTACTTGTTGAGTCCTGGTAGTGTAGTGGTTATGCATTGGGCTGCTAACTGCCAGGTCTGCAGTTCAAAAGCACCAGCCACTTCTTGGGAGAAAGATGAGACTTAACTCCCATTAAGATTTACAGTCTTGGAAACCTACAGAGTCAGTTCTACCCTTGTCCTATAAGGTTGCTCTGAGTCAAAATCGACTTGATGGCAGTGAGGTCCCCCCCCTTTTTTTTTTAATTGAGTTATGTAACTGTATGTCAATAAAACAAATCTAGAGCTGATTTATTTTCCCTACTGCAGGGAAATTGTGAGCCAGAAATCCATGTAGACTCAGAGCTTGACAGCTGGGGGAACAGGAGTAGAGCCCAGAGGGCACAGGCCATCTTTCATTTTCTCCTGGACAGATTGTTGAGATAGAATACCACCGAGCCCGGAGGACATATTCCTGTTCAGAGCAGCCAATGCACAGAGAGTACCATAGGGCCGGCCCCACCACAAGACACAACGTCCCTCACTGACCCTTACATAGCACTATGAGGGACAACACTGGAGGCACAGTGCAGGAGTTGTGCCTGATCTGACCCCACCCCACCTGGGAGAAATGCTAAAGGCGTGCAGCATAGCAGCAAGGGGAGCAAAGCAGTGAAGTCCCCGGGGAATACCAAAAATAGACTTTGGGGCCAGGGTGTGGCACCCCATCAGACTCTACCAGAAAACACTCCTAAAGGTCAACAAACAGACCTAGAATTATTCATAGGGTTTTCTTTTTTGTCGCTGGGTTTTGTTGCTGTTGTTTTGTTTTCTTCTGTTATTTTGTTTTGCTCTGTCTTTTTTTGTGTGCTTATTATTGTCGCTGCATGTCTATCTAGGTAAGATAGACGGGGGACTATTTAGATTGTTTATCTAGATGGTTTAACAGAGGAGAAAACAATGGGACTAATGGTTCTGTGGGGACACAGGAAAGGGGGAGGCAGGAGAAAGGAAGTGAGTGTTAACAAACCCAGAGACAAGGGAACAACAGGTGATCAAAAATTGATGGTGGGGAGGGCGTAGGATCCCTGGTAGGGCTGATCAAAGGCATTGTAACTGAGAGGAATTACTGAAACCCGAATGAAGGCCGAATATGATATTAGGACAAGAGGAAAATAAAAGGAAATAGAGGAAAGAACTAGGATGCAAAGGGCATTTACAGAGGTCTACATACAGGCATGGACATATGTAAATATATTTATACATAACGATAGGGAAATAGATCTATGAACATATATTTATATGTTAAATATTAAGGTAGCAGATGGACATTGATCCTCTACTCAAGTACTCCCTCAATGCAAGAATACTTTGTTCTAATAACCTGGCATCCCGTGATGCTCACCTTCCCTGACACAATTGCTGAAGACAAAGTGAGTGCATAAGAAAATGTAGTGAAGAAAGCTGATGGTGCCCAGCTATCAAAAGATACAGTGTCTGGGGTCTTAAAGGCTTGAAGATAAAACAAGCAGCCATCTAGCTGAGAAGCAACAAAGCTCACAAGGAAGAAGCATACCAGCCTGTGTGATCATGAGGTGTCGATGGGATCAGGTATTATGCATCAAAGACCCAGAACTAAAAAAATCATATCAAGGTCAGTGAGGGGGTGTGTGGAATTGGAGACCCAAAACCCATCTGTAGAGAATTGGACATCCCCATACAGAAGGGTCACAAACAAGGAAAGAGATGAGCCAGTCAGGGTGCAAGAGAACACTAGCATTCCTCTAGTTCTTTAATGCTTCCTCCCCACCACTATCATGACCTCAATTCTGCTTAACAAACCCAGCTAGACCAGAGCATGTACACGGGTACAGATAAGAGCTGGCAACACAGGGAGTCCAGGACAGATAAGCCCCTCAGGACCAATAATGAGAGTAGCAATACCAGGAGGGCAAGGGAAAGGGGGAACCGATCACAATGATCTACATATAACCCCTTCCCCGGGGGACGGACAATAGAAAAGTGGCTGAAGGGAGACATTGGCCAGTATGAGACATGAAAAAATCATAATTCATAAATTATCAAGGGTTCGTGAGGGAGGGTGGGGGATGCTAATGCCAGAGGCTCAAGCAGACAAAAAATGTTTTAAAAAGTGATGGTGGCAACGAATGTGCAAATGTGCTTGACACGTGGATTTGTGAGGGGTTGTGATAAGAGATATATGAGCCTCCAATAAAATTATTTTTAAAAAAATATCAGGCATAGATGTTGGAAGTTGGAGGATTCAATAATGGCACCCTCTCTTTACAGCTGTGGTTAGAACAATTGAGAGACCCACGTATTAGGCTTATGGAGGCTGAACTGTCATCTTTGTTAAATAATAATGCTTTTTGGAAAATATGGCTCCATTGTGCAGTAATAGTGAGCTTTCTAAAATTTCAGCTTATAGTAGGACAGACTTACACAATCACAGACAGGACTCAATAACTGGGGGCGTGACTCAAGGGGAGGGAGGCTATCCCAATAAAACTGACCACGCAAAGAACAGAAGGTTTGTACTCCCTGCTGCTAGGCAGGTGCCAAAAAGAAATAGGCACAGGCTAAGCAATCTCAGCAGCCACACAAGCCCTCCCTTCCATGGGGCAGAGAGGATGAAAAGAAGCTGGGAGGTTGAGGGATGGGCGCAAGATGTCAGGGAAGAGTAGATTCCAGCTTCTGGTTCCTCATTTTCCAAGGGCAGTCATCATGTAACATGGGCACAAAAGCCCTGGGAGAGCCAAACAGGAATCTCCATTCTCCTATCATGAGCATAGGAAGGAGTTTGTTCTGTGAAGCTTCGTTAGTGACACTGAAATGTTTCCTTTCCCTTACAGGAGACAGATTTTGTTTGCTTTGATGGAGGAAGAGATGACTTTGACAGTTATAATATAGATGAACTTCTAGAATCTTGGGAGCTACATGATTCTGCAACTGGAGATTGGGAGAGAACTCTAGAAGAAACTTCTCAGCATATGAAAAAGCCTCCGGAAGTGTCTGAGCAAAGTGACCTAGAACCTGAGCCCAAAGAAGCCAACTTAGAGGAAAATGAAAGTTTACTCTCTGAAAACACCAAGGATCTAGAAGGAAAATCTGAGGCTCCAAAGACTCACCCTCATGCAAATAGTCAAATGGATAACACGCATTCTGCCTTTGACCCTTTTGAGGAAATGCTGAAAGAGAAGTTAAAAATGCCAGAAGGAGAAAACAACAAAACCATCAATGGTTCTCAAGGTTCCGATGAACAAGAGACGATCAACGCTTATAAACTTTTGAAAAAAGAAATGACCCTGGATTTGAAAACCAAATTTGGCTCAACTGCTGATGCACTTGTATCGGATGATGAGACAACCAGACTTGTTACTTCATTAGAGGATGATTTTGATGAGGAATCGGATGCGGAGTATTACACAGTTGGGAAAGAGGAAGAGGAGAACACAGACAACTTGGATGAGCTACCTTTACTAACTTTCACAGATGAAGATGTGCGCGCTCCAGCGAAACCTGGAGTTGAGAAATATTCAGCAGATAAAGAGGAGACGTCAAGTGGAGTGAACGTGATTGAGGTAGCTCAGCCCCCTGGCATCAAAGATGATAAAAATATCCTCATCACCTTGGGGGATACTGTTGTGTCTCTCGTCACAGGAAGTGAGGAACAAACACGAGTGATGGAGTTAGAGAGTTCTGACTCAGAGGAAGACCAGGAAGATGGCTTGCCAGTCTCAGATGGCAGGTGGAGAGAAACACTATCCGCAAAGGATTCTTTTGGCTCTGAGGGTGCAGGAGGTCGCTTTGTGACTACAGAAGCCTCCAAAACAAATGCTGATTCAGACCCAGAAATGGACGTAGACTATCACGTCAAAGGAAGACACGGGAATGTTCTGGAATCCAAGAGAAGCCTGTTGCCAGATGAATCAGAGGGTAAGAAGCAAGAAGAGATAGCTGTGCATGGTACCACTCAAAGCAGTCATCTTAGCTCTCTGCTTTCTTCTGAGAAGGGTCAGGAACCATTAAAATTCACCGCTGATAACAAGGAAAATGCCCTAAAAGCAGCTATTCTTATCTCAAAAGATGCACTCCGTGAAGAAAAACCCGTTGAACGCATTTTGGAGGATGGTTCAAATAGTAAATCGGTACATCGAAATGCAGGGCATCAAATGAACGAATTAAAAATGAAAGAGGAACCCAAGGATATTGTACCACCCTTAGATGATCTGCACCAGGCACCCAGCAGCAGTGTGGAGGAAGTGGATGCTGTGGCAAGTGGACCCGGACCCCACTCACTTGCTGCGGGGCATCCAGGTCAGGATCCCAAGGAGGAGCCAGTTCTTCAAACTCAAAGTCTTCCTAGATTCTCCTCTGCTGATGAAACTGGTTCGCCGGCAGAACTCGATGAAGAGGTTCCCGCTCAGGAAGGACATCGTTTTTGGCAGCAAGAAAAAGATATGGCTTTTGCAGTTCATAAGCACATGGATGAGAGGAGGAAGCTCTCCGGGGAAGCAATCAAAGAGATTGTTCGTCACCAAGCAGTGCAGGACTCACAGCAAGTAGGAACAGCAGGCCAGACTGATAGTGCAGGAGCACCAGGCTTCTACGCCGACAAGCCGGAAGCCGATGAGCACATCCCCGAAGAGCTGCTGGAGGATGAAAATGCTCTGAGTGCAAAACAGTCTAAAGAACAAAGTACTGGGGCTCAGGACAGGTTAGATGTGACTTCGCCCGCTATTAACAAAGCTCCTATAGAGAGCACTAGCCCTGGTACAGAAACTGAAGAAACCAAAATAGATTTGGAGCTGGAAGGAAAACGTGAAACTGTGGCCAAAGGGGTTGAGGACCCGGAGCCTGCTAGCATGACTGTGGGAGCACCAGAAAGCCCTTTCGTAGATGAGAAAACCCACAGACCACCACAAGGAAGTGGCTTTCCAGACACACGAAACCTTCAGGCTTCAGAGTTCAGTGAAGTGTTTCCAAGTAGAGAGACTGATGATGGCCTTGAACATGATAACCTTGAGGAACAGCTGAAGGCCTTGGGGCTGGCAGAAGAGCGTGAGCTAGAGGGACTCTCAAAAGAGGACCAGGAGGAGTTACCAGAACTCTTGGACCCAGAAGACCAGTGGTCTGCTTCTGAAGCAGTCGAAGATGACCCGTTCCATTGGGCTCCACCTCCACCTTCAGAGCACAGTGACGGTGGGAAGGACCTGCCTATAATACGCAGCTTTTTTAAGGAACAGCAGTCTATGCAGAGGTTCCAGAAGTACTTTGATGTCCATGAACTGGAAGCCATGTTCCACGAAATGTCCTTAAAGTTGAAGTCTGCCCAACAGGAGAGCCTGCCTTACAATGTGGATAAGGTCCTAGATAAGGTCTTTCGTGCCTCTGAGTCACAGATTCTGAGTGTAGCCGAAAAAATGCTTGATATGCGGGTGGCTGAATACAAAGAGCAAGAGATGAAGGAAAATAACATATTTGAAGAGGCTGCGGCGCTAGACGATGTCCAAGACCTAATCTATTTTGTCAGGTACAAATACTCCACAGAAGAGGAGCCTGTGTCGATGGTGACCCCACCGCCTCCAGAGGAAGACTGGGACAGACCCAGGGAAGGTAAGTACCTCCTGCCTGTGGCTGCAGGGTTGGGTTCAAATGGGAGGGAAGGGGCTCAGGGAAAACACCTTGGGTCTTTTTCGTAGAGCTTTGTTCCAGTTTACAAGGTGTCTAAAGGGGAGAGGACAATAGATTCCCGGTGTCTCTTCCTGCCTTTTTTCTTTTAGGCTGGTTTTTCTTAGGACGGTTGAGACTTGCTTGCATTTTCAAAGTGAAGCCTTTTTCAAAGGCTGCGAGAGACAAACAGGAAAATGTGGCACAAAGAGTTGTGAGCAAAGTACAAATTTCATGTAAAATTAGGAAAGGGCTTTGGACACAATTTCTTAATCGTTAAATAAATGCTTTCTAAACCAGATTGACTGATAGAACTTTTATTTAAACAGACACTTTTTGAGTTTTTTCATTCCTCTCAACTTTTCATCTTTTGTGAATACTGTGCTCTTTCCTTCTTCTTGCGAGCAGTTACTAACTCTGATTAAACCAGCGGTTCTCAGCCTTCCTAATGCCACAACCCTTCAATACAGTTCCTCATGTTGTGGTGACCCCAACCATAACATTGTTTTTGTTGCTACTTCATAACTGTAATTTTGCTACTGTTATGAATCGGGCAATATCTGTGAAAGGGTCGTTTGACCCCCAAAGGGGTCATGACCCACAGGTCGAGAACCGCTGGATTAAACTTTTCTGTACACTGGGGTCCTTTCATTCAGATTAATCAAGCCTGGAGCCAGGATGAGGACTTTCTAACATTGCACTTGACACATGGAAGGCATTCAATAAACACTTCTTAAATTGGCCGTGAACTGATAACCAAACATAAACTTTCTGATTCCTCGTTCCATGCACTATTCTCTACACCCAAGCTTTTTGTGCTGGGGTGCTTAGCAGAGTACTGGGAGGAACACAGAGCCACAGGATAAATATATCTTTCCAGGGCACCAATTTTTTTCCTGAGAATTTGGGGAAGGAGACATGTTTTACATTTATTCAAAGCCAGTGTATTTTGGATTAAAGGCAAAATACAAATGAGCTTCAGCCTAAAATAAGAGATTTGAAAGAAATTTTTCTTTGCAGTGGATGTCCTTGAGGGAGCCGGGCCTCAGCAGCTTGAGCCCATCAGCGGCTCTGAGGGAGAAAGGACCTGGCAGTCTTTGCCAGTAGACAACGGCAGCTTAGGAAACCTTGCTTGTTCTGCTCTGTCATGCGCAGTCCCCACGAGTCAAAATCAACGTGAGCCACACACCACTGCCACAAACTGGCTCTCCCTGGCTGAGCTCTGAGCCACATCAGGAAGGGTTTGCTCTCTTTGGCTCTTAGAGTTTCTGGAAAATATTTAAAAGGCGCTTTAGTAAACTGCCTTTGTGTGTAATGCCTTTCTCTGCATGAGCTCCCTGACTACATATTCTATTAAGGAAGAGTTCATACTGTTTCTGTGTAGCATAGATGTGTCATACTGGTACTCCTGACTGAAATTCTCTTTTATCGATGTGGGCATAAACAAGGGTGAGTTAGAAAGTATTGCTACAAGATAATAAACACCTTCTTTAAACAAAAATATCGCAACTCGAAGCAGTTGTCTTCACATGGCCACCATCTGGGTGCATACCCGTCTAAAAGGTGATGCTTCCATCTCTCTAACCCTTTCCCAAAGAAATTTGGACTCTAAGCTTGACCCTGTGTCCACACACAGTTTGAGCAGCCTGGAGGAGCTCTTTTTTGTGCCTTTGAGATGTTCCTCGGATCAAGGTTACGCTTTTGGGGTCCTCCCAAGTCTCCGTAGCCTTCTGAGCTGAACTCGCCGCCTCCATTTTAACTGGTCCAACAGATCCCTTTGGACACTGCTCTTTTGATTGGACCTACTTTTGAAGGCACAATGAGATTAGGACATGTATTACCAAGAGAACTTGTCTACCCACTAATTTGAGACCAAACCAAAACCACATCCCTGCCATCAAGTCGATTCTGACGAACCTACAGAGGGTTTCTGAGCCTGTAAATCTTTATGGGAGCAAACAGCTTCATCTTTTTCTCTTAGAACGGCTGGTGAGTTTGAATGGCTAACCTTGCTGTTAGCAGCCCAACCCCTAACCCACAGTACTACTCATTATGGAGACATGTTTAAGCATGTTTTATTTGGAATAAACTTGTGCATGTAGGAACTAGAACACTAGTAGCAATACTTGTTGACTTATTTACCATTTTGCCAAAATCCACTGCCATTGGGTTGATGGCTGATTCATAGCGAACCTATAGGACAGGGTAGAACTGCCCCTGTGAGTTTGTTTTGCTAGCTCAATGCATCTCTTTTCCCTGTAGGGATTCCACCTCCACATGAGGATAATTTCCAACCAGAAAGCACAGAAGACCCGGAAATACCTGCTCCTGAAGAGCCCACCCACGTGGATCAACCAGCAGCCAGTGACACCGTGGCCTCACAGGAGTCACAGATCCCGAGTACAGAGAACGACTCTGACCCAGGTGAAACGTGCTCCTGTTTCTCTCTTAGGAAATACAGGCATATCATACATAAGGCCTTGGGGACTTGTCACCCAAAATAGGAAATAGAGGGAAAAGTTAGACAGATATGTACCAGTTGCAAATAAATAAATAGAAGAATTAGAAGAATAGACATCCTGGAACTAATTGAAAGAAAAGCAGGAGTTAAGCCAGTTGAAGATTAAAAATAGGAAAGATAATCAACCCTGTGAGATCAAAAGGGCAGCAGAAGTTCAGAAAGTTAAGGAAGAAGGAGGGATGGAGACAGGAAATACAGGGAGGAAGTAGGATATGATACGTGCTGTTCCATTGTGGGTATTTCAATCAGTGACATAAAAATGTGCAGTAATTGTTGGGTCGAAAACTGATCTGTTTCATATACTTCCACGCAATTCACAATAAAAAGTTTAAAGAAAATCAATAACAGAAAAGAGGCCAGTGACCATAACTAACAGTAGTTGACTGTCAGAGCCTCCTGTAAATAATTTAAACATAAAGCGTGTTCTTGGGCTTAGAGACTTTATGCTCTAGCACTGTGGTTGAAACCAGACCAACAGCACAGGGATTTTAGACATGTAAAACTGCCTGCCTCCTAGAGCAGAAACTTGCAGGGATGGGTATCTGTGACTATCCAGCCCTCCAGGAAATTCTGGTGCAAGTTGAAGTTTGAGGGCCACTGCACTGAAACACTCTGATTCCGAGCCTTTTCTCACTCCTTCCCCCCAGTAGAATACAATGTAGTTCAATTCTTTTTTTTTTAATTTGTTTCCCAGACATGTTATATATCCAGATGCCTTTATACTAGGAATTTCTGGGTGGCACAAACAATTACACACTTGACTATCAGCCAGAAGGTTGGCAGTTTGAACCCACCCAGTGGTGCACCAGTGGTGCCGCCAAAGGCAGGCCTGGCAATCTGCTTCCAAAAGGTCACAGCCTTGAAAACCCTGCGAAGCAATTCTGCTCTGCACACGTGGTGTCGTCAGGAGTGGCCCGTGACATCAGTCTTTGCACGCTAAGATGGCAGGAAAGTGTAGAGAAGTTCACAGTGTGAGTCCACTATAGACTTACAGTCACTAGCACTGACAGCCCATAGAAAAGACGGAGGGCATCCCATTTTATTTGCCCTAAGGTTGTGTAAATGTGAAAGTATGTATACAACCTTCATGATAATATCAAGAGCTTTCTATTTCCTTTGTATAGCTCTTTCCCATTTTACCAGGCAATCAAAAAAATAGCTGATTGTTCTTTTTGTCTATCGAATATGGTGACGCGATCACTTCATTACGTGTGTGTGGTTTCTAGAAGCTCAGGTCTGTAAGCAGGTAGAGCAGGCGCCACTAACATCTGTGAGACTTGGAAGGCCTGTGCTAATACCTTGCCATATCCCCATCCCAATATCAGAAGTCATAGCCGAATGAATTCTGCTGTTTTGAGCATAGTACTTGAGCATAGTACGTCTGACAGTATCAGACATCCTCCATGCTCCAGAGGACATGACATTCATATGGAATACTCTCTACTTCTAATAATTTTTAGCTCTTAATAATTTCTGCTTGTTAAAGATGAATCATGCACTTTTTAAAAACCTGTTATTCTCTTGCCTAACAACTTGCAATGGTAGGAAAAATTCTCCTTCACAATTAAAAACAAATTCTTTGCACGCTCATGTAATGGTCAAGTACAGAACAGCCTAAACAAGGCTGTTACCTGGGAATGTCCCTGTGTGCATCTCAGTCATTGTTCAGGTGTGTATATCTAGTGTGCTTTCACAGAGCAGCTCATCCCTTGTTTCTCTTGGCATTGACCCGATCCTCTTTCTTGTAGGCTCATTCATCCAGTCAGTAAATTATGTAGTGACTGCCACATGGCAGACACTGTGGACGTCGCATTGGGGCATTCCACCTGCAAACGGAGAAGCTTTTTAAAAAAATCATTGCCTTCCTGAAACGTCACTCGCACTAGATGAATGTTTGCGAAATGTGACTGTGTCTTCATGGAGAAAGCAGAAAACTCCCATTTTTCTCAATTCCCTTAAGTAATTGTCCAGATAGTAGTCTGATTGCAGGGGAGGTGGTAGATGGGGTTGGTGTGGAGTGGGGAGGCTGGAGACAGGTTTATTTTACAAATGAAGGGTAAAATGGCCCTAAGTAGAACTCTGAAGTTTAGGAAAACCCTATTTGCTGGACAGTGACTACTTAATATTTAGCAGGCACTCAAATATTTTAATCGGAGAGAAATCTTTTCCTTTTCCCCCCTAAAATGTAAAACATCAGCTTTCCTCTTAATTTTAGGGGTAATTACAACAGAAGGCACTGATATTGATGCCGAAAAGCGACTGGATCCAAATGCTGAGGCGCCAACAAGCGCTCCACCTCCAGAAAGCACAGCTCTTTCCTTGGATTCCTTCGTGTTTTATTTAACCCACTTGGTAAGTTTGGAACATCTTCTTTTCAGCTACAGAGTGTTGGAGTTGATTTTGAACATGCGGTGAAGAGTTGTCTTTCTGACGGTTTCTCCTGACCCTTTCAGGGTTGCCTCGGGTGCCTGGTTTTGATGGCTTCCTAGTGCAGGTTCTCGCATACTTGAGGAACTGCTGTGTGCCAGGGTGGGGCATATCACCCGTGTGAAACATGGCTCTGCTGCTCAAGGACCTTTTACTTCAGCAGGGAGGTAACGACTTGAGCATAGTACAACACAAGCAGAAAGAGAAGTGCTCCTGAGGGTAGATACTGTGCTGAGCACATTGATTCCTGTGCTGAGGGGATACTCAGGGAAGGTCAAAAGACGTTACTTGAGGTGTGTTTTGAGCAGAGTAGAACAAATGGGAATGTAAAGTCTGCTTTGTTGCTGAATAGGAGGACTGTTGGGGGTGAGAAACAGGCAAAAGAAATAACAATTCAGTTTATGTTTTGTGTGATTCTCTGTATATGAAATCCAGGCTAGGTGGCTCTGTAGAGACAGTAACTATAAGATAGGGGCATGGCAGGGGAGGATGAGGGAATTGAACAGGAGATGAAATGTTCTGAAATTCTGGTGATGATAGTACAAATCTTCTTAATATGCTTGATGATTAAATTGTATGATATGAAAAGTATATGCCAATAAAACAAAACACAAATGAAACAGCAAGTACAGAGAAATGAAGGCATGAAATAACGGTTATGTGGAGAATCCAGGAAACCTGAGTAGTTTGGTGTTACAGTACAGATTGAATTAAAGGGGGGTGGTTTGCTGAGAGGCAGGAGCAAGCAGAGGACACCATACACATGCCAGGAGAGGTGGTGTTAGAAACCTAAGAGGTGGGGATCTCTTGGAGGTTTTAAGCAGGAAAGAGATATGGTCGTGTGTGTCAGAGTATGAGCTTCTGTCTATTCTGATAGTTTTTTTGGTGTTTTTATTTATTTATTTATTTATTTATTTTTAATCAATTTATTGGGGCTCATACAATTCATCACAATAAATAGATCAATTGTGTAAAGCACATCTATACATTTGTTGCCCTCATCATTCCCAAAATTCCCTTGCCTCTTGGGTTCCCGGAACCCGCTAATTTTCCTTTTTCTCCCCCTCCCCTTCCCTTCCTCCTCCCCTCTCCCCCATGCACCCTTAATAATTTATAAATTATTAGTGTATCTTATATTACACTGTCCGGCGTCTCCCTTCACCCACCCCTCCGCTGCCCGTCCCCCAGAGAGGAGGCCTAGAGCCAGGCTCCAAAGGAGAAGTGATTCTGTTTTGAAGTCTTATGCTTTTTAGGACTTAGCTCCCCCTTGTGGTGTTTTTGAAATTGGACATTTTCCCAGTAAATTATAAGAATGGTCAGGTTTATGGAAGGTGGAGGCCAAGTTGCCTTTGAGCCACAAAAAAATATTTTTTCATGTAGGTTTGGTTAATTCAAGACTTGTGTGGGAAAGATTTGTTTTGTTTTGTTCTGTTAAAAGCATGGGTGTTGGAACCGGGGAGATCTGGTTTCAAATCCCAAATCCATTGTTTAGAAACATGGGCAAATTACTAAACTTTGAACCTCAGCTTCCTCATCTGGGAAATACAGAAATATCTGCTCAGCAGGAATATCTTACCTGGACAGAAATTAGATTCATTGAAATATAAAATTTCTAGCTAGGAGGGGCTGGCATTTTGTTGGCTCTTGCCCTCTGTCTGCCTCTCCTTTGGGTGGTCAGTGGGCTGTTCGGATACATTGAATGCTGAGGAGCCCAGGAGAGAGGCCATAGAGATGGGGAAGATGGGAGAAAGCCAAACCATATTCCATTCTCATGATGGCGGTGATGGCAGCCATCCAGACGAAGGTGAATATAAGCTGCATAATGAGAATAATGAAATATTCAGTGACTACATCAGTCACAAAATTTGGAATTTGAGGATCAGAATGAATCATCATCACTGCAAAATATCTAATGATTTCCAGACATGGAAATCAGTTTTTCTGTATTCCTAGATGTGCACAAATCCCTGTTCTAGGCACTGGTTGGAGAACACGCGTAGGACACAGTCTCTGATGGAGGGAGATGGGGAAAGACACAGGCAAGAATGGCAGGGGAAAGACATAATGCTACTAAGTGCTGACTTATAGTGTCAAAAAAGCATTCTGATAGCCCATTATGGGCCGCGCATTGTGCGAGGAATAAAAGATGACTTAAGATGGCATATCAAATATGATTATATGTGAACACTGGGAAAATGGAGAATATAGTAACTGCTTTGTTAGGTATTCTGCATAGGCAATCCCGGGTTAAAATTTTCCAATTTATTTGGACAACTTCTCTCCCTTTTATGTAAGTAAATTTGCCCTCACCTTGGGAGGATTAGGAGCCTTGATGGTGTGGCAGGTTACATGCTGGACTGGTAACCACAAGGTCCAGTTTGAAAGCACCAGCCGCTCTGAGAGAGAAAGGTGGGTTTTGTACTCTCGGTAATAGTTAAGTCTTGGAAACCCACAAGGGCAGTTCGCCCTGTCTTATAGGGTCACATGGAGTTGGACTTGACTCAGTGGCATCCCTCCCACTCAAAACGAAGTCTCTTCACAATCACCATCATTTTCTGTACTAACCCAAGATTCACTGCCATCGAGTCAGTCTTCAGCCTGCCATTTATTGCAAGAGTTTTGAGCCTTTCTTTTTTTCTTTTTTGCACTAAAGCCACCAATGCTATCATGTCTATTGTGACTCCTAGCAACCCCAAAGTACACAGAACTGCCACATAGCATTTCCAGAGCAGGAGTCTTTACAGAAGCAGCCTACCACATCTTTCTTCCATCGCCCTACCGTGGTCTGTTTGAACTGCCAACCTTTCAGTTTGCTGCGGAACCCTTTAACTGAGTGCCGTCAGTGTTTCCGCTTGTGCTACAACCAGGCTAACTAAGAACCACACTCACCTGTTCTGACTCACCCACAAATTCTACCCAGAGTCATAGGTAGGGAAGGATCCTCTTTGTAACCCAACGATTGTCTTTCGTCGTCGTTAGATCCAAGTCATTTTCCACTTACAGTGACCTTATGTACAACACAAAACATTGCCTGCTCTTACGCTATCCTCAGTTGTTGGTATGGGAAAGCCATTGTTGCAGCCACCGTGTAAATCCTTCACATTGAGGGTCTTCCTCCTTTTCACTGATCCTCTACTTTATGAGCAAAGGGTTGGGGAGTAATAAAGGTCAGACTCAAGTGGGAAAATGGTACCAGTGGTTTGATTCATAGATCAATAGTTAACAGAATCTTAGGATTGGAAGAGACCTTAGAGGTAACTAGTCTAACTCCTCATTAAATTGCAATAATTTCTTCTACTGCCCTGATATGTAGCTATGAGGCCTATTTTAACAATCTGGTGTGATTATTCTACCATGCAAGGGCACACATTCCCTCATTGACTGATTCCTTTTCTGATTTCCTCTTTAATCTAAATCTTTTTCTGCATGGCAATCCTTCAGGTACAGTTAAGCCTTAAATTTCACAATGTTTATAAGAGAATAGTCACACTTAGAAAAGCAGAGTATCTCATATAATGAACTCTTTTAGTCTGTCATTTTACCCACCCAGTGAATTTCTTATTGTTGATATTTTACTTTTAATGCCAAAAGTTCTACTTTCTTTTCTTTCTAATCTTTCATTTTTCTCATTATTATACTTTTAAAAATTCTTAAATATATTTTAATATAGTTCTTTTCAAGCCCTTCTCTGCTGCTTCTGAAATGGCCCCCATGGTGCTGTCAGGTAAATGTGGGGCTGCTAACTGCAAAGCTGGAAGAGGGATGAGCCTGTATGCTCCTGTAAAGATTTACAGCCTGAAAAACTATCAGGGTGTTTGCTTCGGCAACACACGTGCTAAAATTGGAACGATACAAAGATTAGCATTGCCCCTGCGCAAGGATGACACGCAAATTCGTGAAGCGTTCCATATTTTCAGCGGCCCCAATAAACTCTGTGAGCACTTAAAAAAACAAAAAACAAAACCAAACTCTATTAGAGTCACTATGAGTTGGAATCTACTTAATGGCAGTGGGATACTAATTCTGTTGACCATGTCATTTCTGGGTCTGTTTTTATAGACTGATATATCTCCACACTATAGGACATACTGTCCGGCAACCTTTTTGCTTGTCAAGTACTTTTTTTTTTTTTTGGATGCTGATTACTGAATATTGTGTTGTTCCGTGCCTGGTTTTAACAGCTTCCTTTATAAAATATTTTACTAGGCTGTACTTGGGGGCCAGTTTGATGCTCCCTATTCTTATTTTAAGCTTTGTTAAGGATATGTTATAGTTGTCTTTACTCAACAGATAGTATAAACGTATTACTGAAGTGCAATCCTTCTAGAGTTCTCTTGAATGCTTTGGGTTTCTGAGACTGTAACTCTCTTAAGGGAGTAGATAGCCTCATCTTTCTCCCATGGAGGGAGGGTGGTTTCAAAATGCTGACCTTGTGGTTAGCAGCCCAGTGAGTAACTACCATGCTAACATCTTCTAGACCTGTTAACAATAGGAGTTGTTCAGTTTACAGCTTCCTTGTAGCTCCCCCACCTCCACTTTCTAGTATTCGTTTCTTTGCTTATTCTCAGATCCTCTTAGAATCTGTGTTTCTTTGGCTTGAGCCCAAGACTCAAGAAGACTCCCCCCCACCCCCCTGCAGATTTCTAGAACTTTTTTTCTTTACAGCTCACATCTTTCTGGTATACTTCCTTGCATATTTGAGGTACCTTAGTCTCCCTGATGTCTGGCTTTTCTGTGAGATTGAGATTGCTATGAATCTGGAAGTGAGTGAGTACATTCTGTTTGGGCTCTCCCTCCCTTCCTTGTCCCTGCGTTTAGGGGTCACAGTTGTAAATTGCCTTCTATCAGAAAACAGGTTTTTCATATATTTTGCCCATTTTTCTAATAGTTTACAGTTGGAGAGCAAGGCTTCTACTAGTTACTTG